GAGAAATAAGCATTTACTGGGGGCCAACTATGGTGGATCTCTCTTTGGTTTTACAAAAGCCTAAGAGTCATCTTAAGATTGTGCAGTTTTTCTGTAGGACAAAAATCTTTCAGTATGTGCTGGAGCAGAATCCTCAGTGATGAAGAGACTGGAAAGCTCTGGACTGGGGGTAGGTTTCTGGCTCTCACAGTCTAGAATGGAGCCCCGGAATGAAAACTTAAATGGGAAATGGGAGAAGAAAGAATTTAGAGTCAGGACCACGTTATGATTTCGATGCCTCAAACCTTTTTGTCTTTCCACTGTAATAACATCAATATGAAAATTTCTGTTTCTAGGACTTTAAATTGCTCAATAGTTATATGTTTTTTTGCTCTCTTTTAGGCAAAATGTAATAGGTTTGGGGTGCCCAACAAATTTTCCTCTTTTTTTTCTGATGTGAGAAAAATTTCAAACATTGAATGACCCTAAATGCGCTTTTCTTTCCCTTCTCATTTTAAAAGAAAGTAAAATATTTTAAGGGCTTCTGAAAGTTTTGTGAACCTCAGGTACTGTGCTTCTGGTGCCTAAAGGATTTGTCAGCCCAGTTCTGGGGAAAAGAGAAAGGCTTCATTCAGCCTGCAGCACTCACAGTGGGACTGCTGATACGCGGGAAGCTGGGGTCTGGTCCTCATTCATGGAAGCTGTATCTCTCGAGCCCAGAACTCACTGGCCTCAGACATTTGGCAATAGTGCTTCCAGTTTGCCAGTGCATAAGTATGATGGCTGCTTCTTTGCTTTTCTTCTAAATGTGGCAACTTGAAGAGCAGGAAAGAATAGTGAACTGGAGTCCAGAAAACTAGAGGTGTGGTTGCATATTTTGATTGTATGTAGCTGTGTGAGCATGGACAACCTTCGTCTCAGGGGGTCTGTTTCAATATTTGCAAGATAAAAAAGTCGGAGTAGACAATAACTTTTAACCAATAATTTACGCCCTACATGCTTCTCTAATATTATTAGAAAAAGTCCCAGAGAGGTAAATGAAGTTACTTACAAATGGAAACAGTTATGCTTAGACCAGAATCTGGAAATAAGTTACTTACTATAATACTATATTAAATTTAGTTTGGAATTATCTGGCAGCTGAGAAATATAGTATTCCTATTGTCTGATTAAAGGCAAGGTAGTACTTCTTTAAGGCTTTATTTGGGACTTTTTTTTCATGCTTAAACAAAAAAAAGTAGCACTAATGCCATTTAATTTTTTTAAAAAGCAAAAATTCATGCACAATCTACTACTTCAATAAATATAAATGTTTTCTTTCTAGTCTTTACCAGTGTGAAATTATTCAACTGAACATTGCAAGATAAATGTTTCAGTTTCCTGCTTTATTTCACTCAAGAAGATACAACCTTTAATCTCAGTCTACTGCAATGTTTGTGTGTTATTTTAAATGTCTGTACAATACCAATGGGATATACTTAGCCATTCCTTGAATATTAGGTGTTGTTTTCCATTTTTTATTTCTACTCAGAATAAGCAATTACTATTGAAGTCTTTTGCTTCTTTAGGATAGTTTTTATTATATGAATTCCCTGGAATGAGAAGATTCCATTAAAAACTATGAACATCATTTACGTTTTTTTAAGTTTTGACCTTTGTTTTCCTATGAAATTGTGCTGACTTTACTCTCGAAATTCGAAGGTAAATTTACTGGGGAATATTACAGAATGGTAAATCTTTTCAGTTCTAAAAGGCTCCCAATGAATTTGTTGCAGGGCATGTTTGACCTATGTGAAAGCAATGGAACATTTGATTTTGACTGGATCTATTGCTGGTATCAATGTACCTTTAGCATTGCACTGAATATAGCCTATCCAGGGATAGAAGAACACATATTATTGAAATGGGAATGAACCTGGCCAGAGGTCATGAGAAACAGAGTGGAATGTTTAGATGTGCAGCGCTTCTCTCTTACTGGGGAAGTTGAGGAAGTTTTATTTATTGTTCTTCTAAGATGGTTCTGTGACTAGAACAGAGCTGGAATCACTTTGGATTGGGATAGCTGGGCTCAACTTTCCCACTATTTATGGCTGTGAGAATTTAAACAGAGCTGAGAGTTTCCTTCTTTCCTGGATTTCAAACAGCTTGGTCTCAGAGCGCAGAGCTTCCCCAAGTGTTTCCAGAGAAGACAGCCTGAGGGAGAGGAAGTGGTGCTAATTAAATCCTCCCTCTGTTTTCCAGGCACGGGAGCCTTTCGCAGATGTCTGTTGTTAGGCGTGTGTTCGCAGAGTGCGCAAATACAGAAGCAGGCTTTCCTTCCCCAGTGGCACAAACCTTCCTTCACAGGTTATAGGGAACTTTAGAAATGCATGTTCGTCCAACACCCACTGTGATAAAGGTGACAGACCTGCACAAATAGAGCAGGTAGCTGCCAGGGACAAGGAGGCCAAAGTGCCTTCCCCCACCCCCTCTTTCTCTCTCTCACACACACACACACACACCCCTTTTTCCTGCTTCTTTATTCCTTGCTTTCTCAGAGACCAATTTCTACCTTTTGCACCCCTAACTTAAAAACATTACCTGAAAGCTCAGAGATGTCTTTTTCTGTGACGAGGCAGCATGATGCAGTGCCTTGTGGCAGATGTTGGGTGTACTGGACTGAAGGCATGGTTGGGAGTCTAGCTGCCACTGCAGCTGTCAAAGTGTGACCCAGGGTGGGTTCCATCTACTCTGTGTTCCTTGGAAAGATGGAAAAAGAGTAAGCAGCTCTCCTAGGATTGCTGGAAAGATCAGACAAGAAAACATATAAAGCAAACTGCATAAGGCTTTCCACTTGTGAGTTACCTTAGCTGTGTCTTCTCCCACATTCAGATCCTTAGGGTGACTATGTATATAGATCCACATTTGCCTGGGATAGTCCAGTTCACTCCTATCATCCTGACATAATTGCCAATAGAACCCTTTTCATGCTAAAATATCCAAAATTAGCTAATAAATTACGTGATCATACTATTTTTACCTCTTGTGAATACCCTAGTTAATCCCAATTTCAAAAGTGGAAACTTGCTGGGGGTAGGGGCTTTTTCTCAACTTCCTTTGTCTCACAAGAACCAAGGAAATTGATTAAAAACTGCTTTTGTGTAAGAAAAGGAGGTGACTCTGCGAATAATATGGCATTCCTGCTTTAGCGGTGAAACTGGACACGAAGCTTTCTAGGCAGCATTGATAACATGCTCACTGTCAGCCTGAAGTGATTTGAGTGCGCATTTCACTAAGCTAACATGTGCCTTCTGTTTTATTTTGCTTTGATTTATATGTACAAAATAGAAACCAATATAATATTTTTGTTTGTTTTAAAGCATATGTGATCATTACTAGCATCCACAGACATGGATACAAAAATAAAAATCAACTCTAAAACTGTCATCTAGAGATAACTATTGTTAATATTTTATTTTTCTTCATTTTAGCCCTCTTTTTAGACTTTTTGAATCTGTTATACCATACATGTATGCATGTATATACGTATTCATGTACTCTTTCTCTCTTTCTTTCTTTTTCTTTCTTTCTCTCTTTCTTTCCTTCCTTTCTTTTCTTTTTTCTTTTCTTCCTTCCTTCTTTCCCTCCCTCCCTCCCTTCCTTCCTTCTTCTCCTCCTCCTTTCTTTTACCTTCTCCTTCTCCCTTCCCTCCGCTCCCCCTTCCCTCCCCTCCCCCCTCCCCTCCCCTCTCCTTCCCTTCCATTCCCTTCCCTTCCCTTCCCCTTTTCTTTCTTTCTAAATTATTTTAACATATTGGAATAATGTTATCTATAATGCTTTGTAACTTTTTTTCCATTTATAATATACTTTGGATAATATTTTCTGTGATAAAAATATACACTCATACTTTCAATGATAACTCTGTATTTTATCTTATGGTATAACATATTTTATGTAGTCAATTTCTTACTGATGGATACATATTTCATTTTTTCGGTGTTGGACACAATGTTGCATGAGTGTCTAATGTTTTTATATTCAGTGTTTATGAGATATAAAGTGGTGTGCTTTTCTATGATACACAATATGGTATATTTTTCTATTAGATGCAATTTGTGATGAACAAACTTTTTTTTGTTTTTTTTTGAGACAGGGCCTTGCTCTAGTGCCTAGCCTGTTGTGCAGTGATCTTGGCTCACTGCAACTTCCACTTCCTCCGCTCAAGTGACCTTCCCACCTCAGCCTCCTGAATAGCTGGGACTATGGGCACATGCCACCATGTCTGGCTAATTTTTGTATGTTTTTGTAGAGACTGGATTACACCACGTTGCCAAGGCTGGTCTCAAACTCCTGAGCATCAGTGATCCACCAGCTTCTGCCTCCTAGAATGCTGGGATTACAGGCATGAGCCACCATGCCCAACTGAACAACTCTGTGTGTGTGTGTGTGTGTGTGTGTGTGTGTACGCGCGCACGTGCACACACGTGCACATGCTCATATGTGTGTGTCTTTGGGTATTCGTCTAAATTATTTTCTTAGAATGAATTTTTAGAATTGGAATTTTTCAGTTTAAAAATATGTGCTGTTCTAAGTGCTCTTATGCTCTATTATAACCCAAGAAGCACACAAGAAAATGTATTATCATTGCTTTTAACTCTTAAATAAGCTTGTAGTCTGGTGAATTTTCAAGCAAAAATGCTATGCAATTTTGAAGGGAAATTTTCTGATAATTATGCAGCCCTCCTCTTGTTCAGCTTCTTATTTCCTAGGATTAAAGATGAGAAAATGAAACTACTTGCAAACTCCCTTTTCTCTGTCCAGAGAGCCTCTCCTTCACTACTCTGGTAAATAACCTTGCAGGATTATAGATCCTAAAAGTCTGTGTTATGAAGCTGTATCCACCAATGCCTCTGTTTAGTTAACATGAAGGGTGTTTTTAAGTTTCGGGAATGCTATTGGCTCATCATATTCTGTTTTGCCATAGCTAGAACACATTTACAGGTAACATTTTTTCCAATGAGATTTCTCTGCCCTTGTTTTAGGCTGAAGAAATGTCAACTATTGGGAGTTTTGAAGGATTCCAGGCTGTGTCTCTGAAGCAAGAGGGAGATGACCAACCCTCTGAGACTGACCACCTATCTATGGAGGAAGAGGACTCAGGCAAGGACCCGATGCCAAGACATATTTCAAGGCAGCCAAGTGTGACTGAGTCAACTCTTTACCCCAATCCTTACCATCAACCTTATATCTCACGGAAGTACTTCGCTACACGGGTAAATTTATTGGTTCTCTTAAATACTACATAAAAATTCACCATAAAACATCTTAAAATTCTTCTATATATCACGTATTTACCAAGTATATTCACATTTATCTCATGTAATCATCATCATAATCATGAAGTAGTTATCCTTATCCCTATTTAAAGATGAAGGATCTGAACTTCAGATAATCTAAAGATCATTTTTGATTGCACAGATAGTATTAAGAAGAAGTATGTCCTCCAGCTTCCTTCTTTGGTTCCTCAGTCTGTGTTTATGCTAAACCTGATCTCAAAGAACTAATATTCTATAAAGAGAGAACCATAGCAGCTAGAATACAAAGCTGTGATCCCAGTGAGGGTATTCATTCTTTGTGTGGAAAAGATATGGATAACAGAGTGGAGAGAGCTGCTAAGAATGTACTTTTTTTTTTCCATTTATAATATATTTTGGATATTTTTCCATGATAAAACTATACACTCACACTTTCAACGATAACATGGTCTTTTATTGTATACATATTAACATATTTTATTTAGTCAACTTCTTACTGATGGATACCTATTTTTTTTTTTTTTTGGTGTTAGACACAATGTTGCATGAATGTCTAAGGCTGTTTTTATATTCAGTGTTTATCTATGAGATATAAAGTGGTGTGTTTTTCTATGACATATAATGTGGTATATTTTTCTAATAGATGCAATTTTTGATGAACAAACTTTTTTTTTTTTCTTCTGAGACAGGGTCTTGCTCTCTTGCCTAGCCTGGAGTGCAGTGGCATGATCATGGCTCACTGCAACTTCCACTTTCTGGGCTCAGGTGATCCTCCCACCTCAGCCTTCTAAGTAGTTGGGACTATAGGCACATGCCACCATGTCTGGCTAATTTTCGTGTTTTTTTTTTTTTTTCTTAATAGAGACTGGATTTCGCCATGTTGCCAAGGCTGGTCTCAAGCTCCTACATGCAAGGATCCACCAGCCTCGGCCTCCTAGAATGCTGGGGTTATAGGCATGAGCCACCAGGCCCAGCTGAACAACCATGTGTGCGTGTGTCCACATGGGCATGTGCACGTTTACATTGGGGTGCTCTATTACAACATGGGATCTAAGGTTTACCTTGGGATGTTTATATTACAACGTGGGAGGGGGTAGCTTTAAATCTCAAACCTGTAGCTACCGTCTGGAGCTGAGCTCTTTTACCTGTGCACTGGAACTGGGAAAGTAAATGGATGGGTAGGTAAGCCGGAGGGAGCTTGTATGTCTAGATGTTAAAAAACAATGATTTTAACTCTTAGCATTTGTATCAAGTGGAGAGCGCTTCATAGATTTCTAGTACCTTTCTCTCTTGAGCTCTTCTTCCTACTTGTAGATCCTCTTTCCAATCCTTCAACATTCTTATTAAAACAGTAGTGGCTAGTTCAGAGACTACAATCAATTGGGGGCAAAATCAAGGAGTTTACGCTATGGCAACAGAGAACATCTCTTTTCATGTGTGCGTGGGACATCTCTTTGGAAAAAAATATATTTCAACTCATTCTCATAAAAAAAATTGGGGCCAGGTTTTTGTGACTTTTCCAAAGCCTTAATTAATAAATGCTGATTTGGTTGCTTTCAAAATACATCGTTGCTTTAGGTAAAGTTTTAACTAAGGCAACTTAATGAGTGCGTGTGTGTGCCTGTGTGTCTGTGTGAGTCTGTGTTTAAACATTACATATTCTCTATATGCAAGATGCTTTAGTAGGTGCTATACTGTATGTGTGTTTGTGCGTTTCTGCATATGTAGAGCATATGGTTTGTTTTCCAAAGTATGTGAACTTTATTGAATATGCAAAGTTAAGCTGTGTGATGTAGCTGCAAAGAAATCAAAGCATCTCTTGGAGTTGTGCTATCTTTGATATTGATGATGTCAGGGTTTGATAAGAGAAGAACACAGTGTTATAGAATAAGAGATTTATTATTGGGAGCTGATGCAATGAGAGCTGGCTAAGACTATGCAAAGTTGTTGTCTCTGCATCTGGTGTTGGGCCTGAAGTTAGAATAGGTCAACCAGTTGGCAGTTGTGAAGAGGAAATAAGAAAAGGGAGTAGGAAAAAATTGCATGGACATGCTGGAGTTTCTGGTGACAATGTTTAACTTTGGAGGAAAAACTGGAACCTGTGTCTGTCTCCCACCAACTTTAACATTGATGATGTCAGGTCACTTTTAGAAGCTAGTATTTTCATTCCTGAGCTACACACTTAGCCAGCCCAGGGAGAGGAAAATCTTAGAAAAAAAGCCTGACGGTGATGGAAGGTGATGCAGGTACAGGAGCTGCCCCTTGCCATCAAGTAAACATCAGGGATATCAGTTGCCATGAACATGAGTTGTCACAGTGCATGATGACCTGCACTGATCTTCAACAGGGAAAACGACTTGTGTTTCATTTCTGCCTTTTGAATATTACACAAGTGTCTCTTGTGGCCAGCCCTAATTTGGAAACACACACAAAAAAGCAATTCTAGAAAATGTAATTTCAGCTGAGCTAAATTGACACAGCCCAAAGCCACTACACATGATGATTGTATTGGTGTTGCACCACGTAGCTTATACAGCGAACTCACATCGATTATCTGTTTGATTCCCCAGAGCAATACTGGAAGGCAGACAGAAGAGGGCTTATCATCCTTGTTTTAAAGATGAACATATTGAAATATGAGAAAAATAAAGTGACCTGTCCAAGTCATATAATGTTAGTGGAAGGGCTGCAGCTAGATTCTGGATCTGGATTCTGGATCTTCTAAGTCCAGTCCTCTCCTGACCATGCACAATAGAATTGATGGCTTCTTTATAAATGTTTTCAGTGACTGATTCCAATCAATGTAAAGAACATCTTATCCATTAGGTAGTTAGAAAACAACCTTAAGTTCTCAAAAGCTTGTGAGGGAAAATCTTCTAATTAGTAGTGAATCTAAAGTGAACCTGAAGACTCTAGGAACCAATAGGGTGCTTTTCCCAAGGTACTGAGCATTTGTTCTCCTTCAGACCAACAGACATAATATGAAGAGCTTTTATTACCATGTGAATGAAATAAATGTGCATTCACACAAGTGAGAACAATGAAAATACAACTGTTGATTTAATTGAAGTTCATCATGATAAACTTTAAAAAAATAAATTAATAGGCTGGGCGTGGTGGCTCACGCCTGTAATCTCAAAATTTTGGGAGGCCAAGGCGGGCAGATCACCTGAGGTCAGGAGTTCCAGACCAGCCTGACCAACATGGAGAAACCCTGTCTCTACTAAAAATACAAAATTATCAGGGTATGGTGGTGCATGCCTGCAATCTCAGCTACTCAGGAAGCTGAGGCAGGAGAATCGCTTGAACCTGGGAGGTGGAGGTTGCAGTGAGCCAGGATCATGTCATTGCACTCCAGCATGGGCAACAAGAGCAAAACTCTGTCTCATAAATAAATAAATAATCCAGCTTTATTAGATTATAAACCACAAGTCTACTAGTGGGTGATGGTTGAAAAAAACTGGAGAGAAATGTGTATGCGTGTGTGTGTGTGTGTGTGTGTGTGTGTGTGTGTGTGTGTGTATTGTATACATATGTGCATATTTTCTCATCTGGAAAGTATAGCTAAAACACCAGTTTTATATAAAAACTTAAATAAGCTAACTGTGTAAAAGTTCTTTGTAGAGTACATAACACATCTATAAACATTTTTATAAATGGCATCGTGTTGTTATAAATGCTTTCTCTTTCTTCTTGACTTTACAACCACATTTCTGTAACTGGTCGTGGGAAACAACATGAAGATGCACATGACCTCCAGGGTAGGATATAAATGTAGACCTATAGGATCTGTAGCAGTATAGAGGAGGCGGTTTCGTTTTCTCAAGGGATAATTAAATAAGATCAAGAGTTTCAAAGATTCTAATCTATGAAAGATTCACAATAAAGTATGACTTCTTAAAGCTGAAATGAGATCTACAGATGATATAGTCAGACGATTCGCAATCTTTAACATGCAAAACATGATATTATTCCAGATTTCTACAAAGTCTCTGGCAATACTGATGCTCTCTGTCCAGAGACCACATTTTGAGCACCAATGAGCTAATCAACACACTCGTTTTCAAAGGAAGGAGCTGCTTGGTCAATGTCACAGCAGTTAGTGGCCACTGACTTCCCCAAGGGGCTAGCAAGCGGCAAAGCTAGGGCTAGAACTAGTTTCCCCATTTATAATTTGATTCAATTAAAAAGAAATCAACTTATCATGGAATAATAATTTAAAGTATATATGTTGTAAATTCAGAAGGGTAGTTATTGAGTGGAGGAATTACTTGGTCAGGTATTTTGTATTATTAAGATGTTTTAAAATTATTGCATAAGAGGTGGCTTATTGAAGAATAATTAGAAAATGGGAATAAGCAAAGTAAAATAAAGATTATCACTGCTCAAAGTTAACCAAAGTGTATTTAATCTGTTCTGACATATTTAGGCGCATGTTGTTTTTTCTTTTTCTAATATATACACAATTTGTTGTATAAAAATGGGATTATATGCCAACTATTATTTCCCATTTTAATAACATACTTCCATAATATAATTTTTAACAGTTTTATAATATCCAACTATGGAAATATACTATAATTTATTTAACTTTTGTTGTATATGTAGGTTTCTTCCTGTTTAAATTTTTTTAACCTAGAAAGTTACTCATTGGCTCCCTGTGGCAGGATAGTGCTCAGTTTCTCCAGTGCCAGGAGCAAACAGCCAATGCCATAATAAGAAAGAAGGTCAATTATATGAATTACAAATTAGATTTTCAAAGAGGTGACGGACACAGAAATTAGTTATTGATGAACCAGTCAATTTTAGCATCATAATCTCATACATTAGATCACATGTCTCAGTACTGGATCGTAAAAAAAAGGTATATCTGGCCCCTTAAACCTCTTGGATTCTTTATGGGTTGCTCTGGGATGTTACTACTTCCTTTCCTCAGGCTTCCAACCTATTATTTCTTTTCTGCAACTGTGCACCTCTGACTTAGCTTAGGAGCTCCCAGCTAGAATGGTCTTGAGTTTCCAATTCAACCTTTGAAGCGCACAAAGGAGGTAAAACTTGGTGCTGAGGTCAACCAGCAACCTCTGGGCCATGCAAGGACTAGAAGACAGCCCTGGAACCCAGAACTCTTGATGCTTTCCACCACAACCCACTGCCATTGACCTTGGAAAATGAATGAAAGGTCACAGAAACGAAGATTCAAGCTACTTGCCATCAGTCTGCTTGGATAACCTTTTCCTTCTGTTTTAGTTCATCTGCTATTACTGCTTAGACATATCTAAAAAAAGGCCTAGTGGCTTCTCTGAACAAAAGTACCCCTCAAGGCTAATAACTAGAGGTATATTATGATTATCTTCTTAGTTGCGGAGACTGATATTCAAAAACAACTTCTTATGAAAGGAACAATACTTAATCCACATTGGGAAAGATATTTTTAAACTCTCTGTAGAACTCTATATTTCCAGATACCTTATCGGAAAGTTGAAAGCGATTTGGGATGGGGAATTATCTCTAAATTTATACTCGAGAATATAAATTATATACAAACGAATGGGACTAAAACTATTTGATCTTTTAATATTTAATTAATGGTTCCCCATAGCATTTTTATAGTCTGTGTTCTATTGTGAGCAACGAGACTTTAATAAGTAGGTTCAGGACTTCCCATTGTGTAAGAAGATGTCATTGCTTCCATGACACTAATTTGGCTTTCATACTCTCTCTCTTTCCCTCTTCTCTTGCTACAGGGTTCCCTGTGTCTTGCTCTCATATTGGGAAGAAATAAATATATCAGTTGTATTGTTACTGCTTGTGTGAGCTTCTTTCTGGTGTAGAAAATAGTTATCTCACTGGGCAAAAGTTTTCTTCATTCTCTTTAGCCCTGAAATCCCGTTAAGATTATTAAAAAGATGATATTATTTTCTTTATGAGAGCAGAGGACTAACTATAATGAGATATGATACATTCTGTTTATTTTCAGGTAAAGACAAATTTACTTGGACTTTAAAGATCACGTCTGACTTAGAGCTGATTTTCTGAGTTTATGTGTTCATTGTGAAGTGATCCCAGTTTGGACATGACAAGAGAGACCCAAGTGTCTGAGTCTGCAGAAACATTGTTTTCTATACCACTCCTGTTGAGCTACGGAGCTCATTACATGGAGAAAAATCAGCACAGACATGGACACTGTTTGTGCGACAACTGGCCCCAGGCTAGTCTAGCTCAAGAAAATGTAAGGAAACAAACACATATGTTTTCAAAATTCCCTCAGTAGGTTTGCTTTACTAAAACTATTCAGTGCCAGACTATAAAAGACAATATTGCCTGTCACGCTGTGTCAGGTGATGTGTACATATTACCTCACCATCTTTCCCTGTTTGTCTTAGGTTGCATGTTGTCTCTGAGCTGATTATTCAATGACAGTAAACATTTGATCCCATTTCATTATTTCTGATATTAAATAGAAGGAAAATTTTCCTTCTATTTAATATCAGAAATAATGAAAATGATAATATTAATCAGTATTTACCATTTTATATATATAATAATATATACAGTGTTTCATAGCATGGCACAGTTACAGTTATTCATCTAATTTATTATATTTATATTTATATTAGATGAATATTATTTATTTATCTAATAAATGAGCAAACTGATGTATAGAATGACAGGATGGTGTATAATGGATTCTCATAAGAAAGGTTGAGATTTAAACCTTAATGTCGCAGACACAAGTCAAAGTATGAATACTTTTATGTTTGGCACTAAATGACTAAAGTTAACGTATTATAATAACTATAATAGTAAGATGGGGGAGAGTACAATTCTGTATCTGGGAACATTTTCCCTCTATGTTCTGTAAGGGCTAGACTTACATTTTTACCAAAGATAAGAATAGCACAGTGAGAAGACTGATAGAACTCCAGAGGCTACCAATTCATTCTGTAAAGAACATGCTTTATTTTTTTGTGGCCAACTTTTTAAAAATTTTATTTTAGTGTTTTTATTTATTTATTTATTTATTTATTTATTTTACTTTAAGTGCTGGAGTACATGTGCAGAACATGCAGTTTTGTTACCTAGGTATACACGTGCCATGGTGGTTTGCAGCATCCATAACCCCGTCATCTACATTAGTTATTTCTCCTAATGCTATCCCTCCCCTAGCTCCCCACCCTCTGCTATTCCTTCCTTAGCCCCCCACCCCCTGAAAAACTGTGGTGTGTGATGGTCCCCTCCCCATGTCCATGTGTTCTCATCGTTCAACACTCACTTATGAGTGAGAACATGTGGTGTTTGGTTTTCTGTTCTTGTGTCAGTTTGCTGAGAATGATGATTTCCAGTTTTATTCATGTCCTTGCAAAGGACATGTATTCATCCTTTTTTATGGCTGCATCGTATTCCATGGTGTATATATGTGTTGTGTATATGTGTTATGGTGAATATGTGTTGTAACTTTTGAAAAGATATACAACAAAACATCACCTTCATCTTCTATCTTCATCACATTCTTTCCTGTGCATAGGGAACCAATGTTAATAGTTTCTATGTATCCTTCAAGAGTTACTACAGGCATATAGAAGCAAACACAAATATTTATTTTTATTCCCTCTCCTCCTTTTTATACAGAAATTGGCATATTTTACCTTCTCTTCTGATCATTCTTTTCTTTCATTTGGTAATACATTTAAAAATCTTTCCATATTAATACTATTTTCTTTGTGCTTTTTATAACTTCATCATATTGTGTGGTATGAATGTATCCTATAATATATACCCCTAGTCCTTTATTGATAGATGTTTGTGTTTTTTTTCCAGAGGTTTTTGCTATCCAAAAACGAGGCTGCAAAGAACACTTTATAGATATATCATGTTGTACATATGCAAAAATTTCTTGAGTATAATTTCCCAGAAGTGAAAATCTGGATCAAAGGATAGATCATTTCTCATTTTGATAGGCTTTGCCAATTATTTTCCATAAGCAAGGCAAGTAAGGTTTTAAAAATTCTACATTATTATACTCATCTTCACATATCTTTGGCAAAGTGCCTGGCATAAAAACATTCAATAAAATGCTTATTTTAGGATTATTTCATTACTCTTTAACTCTGCTTAACAATTTTTTCTTCTGAAAAACATTAGTCTCACTACTAAGTTATATTTGTTGAGACCAAAATTATGTGAATACAAGAAGACAGACCCAAAAAATACCCATGTTGAGTCATCAAAGAAAGTATTATTTTTTTAGAGGACAAGTGGGACTGGAAGAGTCAGACTGCATCACAGGGAGCTGAGGCTGAATGTAGGGAAAATTGTCATACAGTCATGGGGAACTCCCCTCTGGGGTCATGATGACTGATGTTAGCACAACCTTCTCTGTTGAAGTACACTTGAGCAGTGGTTCTCTTAGAAAAGGCTCCACACCAACAGCAGCACCCAAGAACTTGTTAGAAATGCAAATTCTCAGGTTCCACCATGGTCCAGTTGAATCAAAAACTCTGGGTATAGTCCCAGAAATCTATGTTTTAACACAAATTTTAGGTGATTCTGATGTACACTGAAATTTAAGAGTCATTGAGCTACAAAGTCTATGAATTTGTTAGAACAGATGGCAGTCGATCTTTAAGCTAGGGTTGAGCCTATAAGTAGTAACACCTGTTTGGGAAAGGATACAGAAAATGAGGTGAGGAGACTGACAGTTTATCTTCCTGAGTCAGCTAAAATTTATTGTCAGAGCATTGCAAGAAGGCTACTTGGTGTTTTATTGATGTATGCTCTAGGAAGCTCTCTTAAATTACAAAAGGTGTAATTTAAAAATGTACAGATTGCTAAAGGCTTTGAACTTTATATTGCTTGTTTGGGAAAACTATTCCTCTGAAAGTGGCTGTCTTCATTTTTATACTAAAGTCTGAGTAAGATTATAGAAGATGGGAACTAGACCGCTTTTTCTCTACTCAAGGAGAAAAGCTTACCAGAATTCGGGACTAAGTTCTCTGGAAGGCAGCTAGGCATACAGGCATACAGGCAACTGCATGAACTATGACTTTTGTGACCAGCTTTCTGGAGGGGCTGTTGGAGTATACTAACTAATCATAAGCACAACGTGGGCTAAGTCTACTCTAAACTAGTTATTTTCTCCTTTCCACTCAGCCGGGGGCCATTGAGACTGCCATGGAAGACTTGAAAGGCCACGTAGCTGAGACTTCTGGAGAGACCATTCAAGGCTTCTGGCTCTTGACAAAGTGAGTAGTTATGGCTAGGTGAAGGGCAGTGGGAATGCAGCATTTTTCTTGACATCACTAGAACAGAACAGGAAATGAACCTGTGGTTGAATTTGTCTGGTTGCTACGTAAGATAAATGATTGAATTATCCAGTTAGGCACATTTTTCTGGCACTCTATGGCTGATGGTGTGAGCAGATATGACTCCTATAACTGTTTTCTGGGTTGGTCCCCTCACTCAACCATCTCTGTATCTACCTTAGGTCAGGTCTGTGTCACTGCTCTCAAAGACTGTTATGTTGGCTTTCTAATTCTCTCATTCCAATCTCTCTTATTTAAAAGCACTCCCCCTGTAAACACATTGAACTACTTATCATCTCATTCTAGGTGACATGGAAAGGAAGTCTGGGAAAGAAGATAGATAAAGTGAACGTATACACTTTGAATTTGATCTTATATACTATCATATGAACAGAAAAACTAGGGAAATTATGAAGATAGCTAAGACAAGTACATTTCCAGAGTTAGTATTAAACCAAGTCTAACATTTTAGCGCTTATTTCTTCAATAACTGTCTGCATTCACCCCAAAGATTATCCTAACCACAAGAGCTTTGATTGCAAATATAACCACAAAGATGGTTGCCTTTCTAGCCTTCCCAGAAATTCTATTGTTTGTATGACCATGTCTTTACTGCCCAGTAAATATTAGTAATGCCATGGTCTGTGTAATAATAAGTAAAAATCTTCATAATAAGAGAAAGAGGCAACTTTTTTTTTTTTTTACTACAAAAGCCTTAGTATGAAATAGATAATTTAATTGCAATATCCAGTTGAGATACATCATTAATTCAGTAAGTTCTGTTTTCTGACTTGGTATCTTGATCACAAAAGGGTCCAGCAAAGAAGCTCAGTGATTCCTATACCTTGAGTAAATAATATGAATCTTTAACTCCCGGACAGGACGTCCTCTTTGACTAAGTTTCAGGAGGGCAACTCTTGAATATTTCACTATCCAGTATAGCAGAACAAATTTCTCAATCCATGGGAAATAGGGCCATATCAACTGTGAGTTCATCTGACTGATCACCAATTTATACTATGGCTTCAAATGGGATTCAGGAATAACATAAAAAATGAGCTCTTAGACACCAACCTGTGTGTCAATTTTGGGTCTTTGTCTTTTCATGCATAAAATGGTGTTAAAGTATGTATCTGAAGAATACTTGAGAGGACCAAATGAGATAACATTGGTAAATTAGCATTGCCTAGGACATGCACTTTCAATGGCTATTAGTGCTCCTCAGTTCACAAGTAATACCTATTAGTAAGAGGCTCTTTTTTTGTAGCTTCTGCATTCATTTCTGTCCTGCTCATTTCTGTCATTTCTGGGTTACCTCTAATGAAAATAAAACTCTGTAATTCAGACTTTTTCCTAATTCACTTTTACCAACACACATTTCATTTCCCACTCCCCACTTCCCATCCAGAGTGAAATTTGACTTATGCAAATGAATAGTCTGCCTTGATTAGAATAGATGTCAACATAGATTTTGGAGATCCAATCAGTGGTAAACCCATAACTAATTTGTTTCAACACTGCATCTCTCTTACAAGAAAGAATACACGAATGTGGTGTTTTGAAATCTAGTCAGGGCTGTTGTTGAGTTCTCGGATAATAAAACTGGTAATTTCTTTAATACTGCACATTTTAATTGGTTTTATCTTTATAGGCATACCTTTTTTTGTTTGCTTGGTTATTTTTATTCAGTGATTATAAAGATTGTAGACATAAATTGTCCAATGATAAACTGTATGATCTGCATTGAAGCTGGGCACTACAATTCTGCATGCTTGATTTAACATTAACTACAATGATTGGTAACACCAGTAGTTTTCAGAAAAACATGAACAGCTCTCCCCCAAAGACTCAAACTTTGAACCCAGCTTGAACTTAATAGGAAGCTCAAAAGTTGGTAAGGCCTATCTAGAAATTCATTTTACATTTCTGTTTTGTTTTGTGGTACCTGTTTAAGTACAACAATAAGGGATGCATCCTACATGCATGGAATTTCCTACAATCGTATTTGCTTGTTTGCTTGCAGACTTGGTTCGTTTGCGTTTGGAACCCGTTGGTCCCCTTTAAATAGTAGTTCCTTGGTGTTCTTTTTGGTCTTCTCTCTGCCAAAATCCTTTACTGCCTTTTCCCATTAAAACCTACTTTCAGAAAAAGTTCTGATTTCAAACATTTCTTCCATAGTGATAATTTGACAGTTTTTTCTTTTCTTGTTAAAAACGTCATCATGGGTTCTGAGATGCCTTCTGCAATGGAAAGAGCTGCTAGTTGTGAAGAAGATGTTTCAGGCATCTGATTCAAATAAATGAGGTTCCTAGTCTAGTCACTGTTACTTCTCAAGCAGAAAAATAAAAGGTCCCATTGTCAAAAAGAGGAAAACTCACAGAGGATTTAAATGGCCTTTCATATTTAAATCTTTTTTCTTGTTTGTTTGTTTTGAAATTCTATCACACCAAGGTAGGGAAAGGCAGAAACAAAAACTATGAGAACACATAAACAAACATCCCAACTACCCCCGACAGCAACCAAAAAACAAAATAAACAAAATAAACAAACGTGCAGACCCAAAATGGTGAGAGCTTGCAATTACTCATAGCTTCTTGCCTCCTTTTTATAGTGGAATGAGACCCATCTATTTAGTTCTTATGAATTATAGGAGGTGTAATATGGACCAACTGCTCTAGCCTGGCCAACCACACAAGATTCTGTTTTACATATGACAAAAATGATTGAGCTTCAAGCACATTAACTTTTAGCTCATTCCATGGAGATGGGAACCTCCTGGCTGCTTGTCTAGCAACCTGGCTGTCTGTCTAGCATGTCTGGCTTTGGAACAAGGATTCCCATTTCAGAATGGTGAGAGTGAAAGCCCTTTTATGGTGTATAGCACATTACAAAGTATTTTCACATCTGTGAACTTAAGTTAGCTTCACAACAACTTTGTTGGTTTTATGATTCTGATTTTATAAATGAGAAATGTGGGCCGGAGAACATGAAGTGCCCAAATGAAGAACCTATGAGTGATTGGACAAGGAAAATAGACGGCACCCCTCCTTTGCTCTTGAGGCTGATTGGGTTCTAATTCTTTCCAAAGATGCAGGTGTGAGTCGATTGATGAACTCAGCTCAGTCTTAAGTCATGGTTGATCAGACTCCTAGAAATAGTGTGATATAGGTGGGCAAGGTGGGAATTGTCAAGAGAGGAATTCCCAAGAAAGGTGACTGAATAAGATCTTAATGGCCTTTGTATCATGTTAAAGAACTTAGATTTTATCCTGTATGTGATGGGGAGGCACTGAAGGGTTGAGAAAGTGCAATCAATTTCCATTTTATAAAGATCACTATAGGACCTCAATCTTTTATCTAAAATTGTTGGAACTAGATGTGAATTAGAAATGAGAATTTTTCAGATTTTAGAAGTGTAAAACAATGCATATATTGTTTATTTTACTAACATTAAGTTGGTTGAGCCATTTTTCAAGAAGTCATACTCAAATTAATTCAGGTAAGCTGCTTTGTGATTCTCTAAATTGATAGGGACACATTATTCAGTAAAATCAGCAAAATAAGTTGGCAGGCACTTGAGAGGAGAATACAAAGAGAATAAACAAAGAGTCCAAGGGGGCACTGGAGAGATTCAGCCCTAAACCTCAGCATAACTGGGAAGGTAGGCTGACACCATTAAGAGAATTCTAATGAATCCTCCATTAGGATTCAGGTCTCCAGCCCAGCTCATCAAGGAGTGTTACATACAGCTATAAAGACAGAATATTGTTTATTTCCACCTTGCAGTTTCCTATTACCCTTCTTATTGGCCCTTCTGAAAAAAGATTATTTAAAAAGATTATGTGTATGCTTTTAGAACTGATCCATTAAGTCAGCACCAAGGAGAACATCTTGACACTCTATGGAATCTCAAAAAGTGAGATGTGATGGCAATAAAGTGGCTCTTCAGCGGAATGCACTTGAGGTGTCTTTGTCTACAACGGTTAAAGAGGCAGGAGGAGATAGCATCTTCCCTCCACACACTTAGCATGAAGTGGTCCTGGGGGATTGTTGTTCTTATTCCTCTTATTCCTAATTGAGAATAGTTGCCTATGGTGCCTAAGAACCAGTAAATTCTTGCTCTTCAGCTTTATAAAAGATACTTAAAATATGTTTCAGGATCCCTGCCAACTCTACCTGGTGTCTATCCCAGGTCTTTGGTATAATAAATACGTTAAATTGGACTAACTGTCTATGTGGAACATATAGACAGTAGAATCAAAGTGAAGTTGAGTCACCCTGGTGTCATAGAGAAAGCACTGAATTTGGAATCAGAAGGATTGGCTTTGAATCCTGGATCTACTACTTACTATCAGTAAAACTGGGTGAACTTGAGAAGGGTTTGCTTTTTTATTTTTTTAATTGGTGAATTTGTCTTCATATGTCCTTTTTTGTTTTAATATTTGCTTTAATATGCCCTTGTTTTAATAGTTTTCCCATGGTTGTGCAGATTCCCCATTTAATATGTCCTTTAGTTGGTTAGATATTTATTACTCTTGAAAAAACCACAACCACTTTTAATTTTATATATATATATATATATATGTATATATATATGTATATATGTATATATATATGTATATATATATATAAAATTATTCTAGCTTATTTTTGTGCATTTTTGCCAAAAATTGTTACATATTAATGATGACATTTACTGAGCACTTAAAATGCACCAAATGTTTTGATGTCCATGCATTTGCCATTATATTAGTACAAATGTATGTAACTTTCACTTTAAGTTAAGGGGTACAAGTGCAGGTTTGTTACATAGGTAAACTTGTGTCATGGGGTTTGTTGTGCATATTATTTCATCACCCAGGTATTAAGCCTCATTAATCAAATGACTCATTATCCTCTCCCTCCTGCCACCTTCTACCTTCTGATAGGCCCCAGTGTGTG